GCTGATATACTGTTTCTCACACATGACAAATATAAAGAAAAGACATACAAAGCAGTATTAAATATAGTGGATTGTGTGTCAAGATATAAGGCCTCAGTTCTTCTTATGTTGAAGAAAAGTTCGGAAGTTACTAAAGCATTTAAGAAAATATATAATAGCCATAATTTCTTATTAACCTGGCCTGAATTGTTACAAACAGATAATGGTTGGGAATGGATGAGTGAGACTAGTAGAATAATGGAAGAACATGGTGTAGTAATTCAAGTTATTGGTACATATTCCTATCGTGGTATAGCAATTGTGAAGAGATTTAATAAAACCTTAGCTGAAATGCTATATAAGATTCAATATAGCGTTGAAAGTATATCCTCAGACCCTAAATTAATAAGAGCATGAGTTAAACATTTATCCAAAGTAATAGATTATCTTAATAATTATCCTACGTGCCTCATTAGAGCTCCTGGCACCTCAAAGTGGGGGTTGGCACCAATAGAAGCCATTAAATTAGAAAAGGTTGAATTTAGGCCATCTACAAAATATAAACGTTCTGTTGGAAAATATGAGGAGAATAGGTTGAAGAAAGGTAATACAGTTCGTTACCTGCTTGCTAATGCAGAGTGGGAAAAAGGTATAGAAAATCAAAAAAGGGCAACAGATCTGATGTTTTCACCAAGTCTTTATAAAATCTGCAAAATCGTAGTCTCAAAAAACGAACCTATCTTATATTATTTAAATAAAGAATTCACACCAACACATGGGTTTGTATATGAAGAATTAATGCTAATTGATCTAGAAAAACTTCAGTATCCGCCTCAGAGTATATTGGAGGAAAACACTCGTTCCAGGTCTGTTAATTTCGTTTGTATTATTAATAAAATAGCTAAAGCTGCTGCATATGCTAAGAAGCATAACAGAAAATGTCTTGGTAAAAATAGCCAAATAAATGATTTTGATGTATATCTCTGGACCTGTGAAAACGGAAAGCATCAGTGGGAATATCCATATCCATTAATAGCTACGAAATTTGAATGGTGTCCACTTTGCTTCCATCACACTGATGAGCGTCGCTGTAGATATATTTTCGAAGATCTGTTAGGTAAGAAATTTCTATCTTGTAAACCATCATTTTTTGAATAGGATGCAATTAGATGGGTATAATGAAGAGCTAAAATTGGCATACGAATTTCAGGGAGTTCAACACTACCATCGCAATAGTTTATATCACAAAAATTAAGATGATCTAGAATTGCAGAAGAAACGTGATTAAAAAAAGCAGGAAATATGCAAAGAGTGAGATATAGATCTTATTGAAATACCGTATAGTGCTGATTTATTCTCATATATAAAACACAAATTGCAAGAGAAAGGTTATCTACAAAATATAGATATAAATAGCATGTCAAAATCAGATTATTCGTCAGAATAAAAAAACATAATATATATTTATAACAAAAAGATGTTATATTGTGTATTTGCCGTGGATAAGATAAAACCTTCGAAAAAATATCAGGGAGATAAAGATGCACCAGCATGGCCTTTTCGTATTGTGATGGCAGGGGCTAGCAATTCAGGTAAGACCAATATGAATTTAAACTTGCTAACAATGCCCAAATTTTATTACATGTTTAAGAAGAAAAAACATTCTAAGATAGGAGAACGCAATGTTAAATGCGATGATGTATTTTTTTTTGGATATCATTTAAATAAGCCAAAATATAAAATAGTTTGAGATTTTTATAAATATCTTGCCCAAGACAAATCAAAGCCCTATTATGAAGATGTCACATTTTTTTTACTATCTCCTGATAAAATCCCAGATCCCAAAAAGTTTAATGCTAAAAGAAGTATATTAGCGATATTTGAAGATCTTTACTCTGACCCTCCAGCTATACAGAAAAAAATTATTCCATTTTTCACCAGGGGTTGTCATGAGAATATCTTCTCAATTTACGTTGCTCAGAAATTCCACAAAATTCCAATAGATATTCGTGAAAATGCTACTCACATTGTTCTTTTTAATGGTGAGGGCTCTATTCGAAAACTTGCAGATATTATAAGTCCTTACACCAATGTAGATCCATGAAAAGCTTCAAAAATTATTGACAGCTATTTGAGGCAAAAAGAGTTTATAGTTATAGATCTGAATAAACCAAGATCCGAGTCTTTCTCATTTCGATAGGACACCCCTCTTGATCTAGAAAAGGAAATAGAAGGGTTAAAAGATAATAAATATTCTACCTAACCAGATCGAGATTTTAGAAATGTAATGAATTTTTAATCTTTTGTACTATCTGTGCTTATATAAAGAACCAAATATAAGTTACCCTTTATTCTTCCAGAGTTACTTGAAAATATATTCAGTTTCTTGGCTAAGGATAATAAAGCACTCTATCCAGCATTATTTGTCAATAGACTTTGGTATCACTACAGTGCCCCAATTCTATGGAGACACATTGAGTTTTCTATAGAAGGTTATCAGCAGAATTGGTATAGTAAAGATATATCTGGACCTCTTTATTGACAATTAAGAAAGTTTAAAAGAGTTATGTGCGAAGAGACAAAACCTCCATATTGCTCAAAAATGGTATATCTCAAATTGGCGGGTTTAAAAATCTCAGATGAATTACTCAGTGCAATTCTGCATTCATAAACTTTCTCATCCTCGATCGAAGTCATAGTTTTAGTAATATACCAATTATAGAAATTGCAAAATATTGTCTGAAGCTACTACATCTGAGTCTTGATGCATGTACAGCTATTACTGATAGATGCGTTAGTGAAATAGCACAATCTTGTCCAAATTTAAAATACATAAGTCTCGCTTCTTTGTATAGAGATAGTAACATTTCCAGTGCATCTGTGATTGAAATGGCACGATCTTGTTCCAATCTAGTATATTTAAATCTCAATAGACAACCTTCTATTAATGATGAATCAATTTGTGCAATTGCATGCTCATGTGTAAATCTTCAACACCTGGATTTGTCGTTCAATGAAATAATTATGGATGAAGCTATATACGCGATTGCAACTGGCTGTCCAGATATGCGAAATTATTTTCTTGAAGGCTGTGAACGGATTACCGACAAATCAATCAAAAAAATTGCAGATTTAAATAAAAACCTACAAAATATTAGTCTTATTTCATGTTATAAAATTACGGATAATGCTGTATGTAATATAGTTCATTCATGTTCAGACATTCAGAATCTTAGTTTTCAATATATTTATATCACCGATAAAACGATATATGAAATTGTACACCACTGTTCTAATTTACTAGTTCTCAATGCAAAGAAATGTCTGTTTATTTCTGATGAATCAATCTACTTTCTATTAAGCAAAAAACCGGCACTAGAGCTAATATTAGATTGGGTTCCGTGATTTATATAGGCTGGGATAAAATCGCATTATATAGTTAGTTTGATAATCGAATATTTTTCAGTTGTAATTTTATTCTATTAATATAAATACATCCTACTCCCCACTTCTTATATAATTGAGAAGATGCACGTATCCAGCCGATTTTAAAATTAGGGGTTTCAACATTAAAACTAGAGAATCTCAATTTATTTTTTTTGATTTATAGCGAAGCTAGTGTCTTTGACACATAATTTACATAGTAAAAATGCTATTTAAAATTCTATGCCTTGGTATGAGCTCTGTTCTACTTATTTCGATATGCAACTTATTAATTTCGAATTTTAATAACCCCTTAATGATCAAGGTTATTACCACAACTGCAACATCTCGATAGTGATGCCGATTGTTAGTGATCTTTGAGATGGCTGATTTGGCAAGCTCATAGATATACAATTAAATTTTATAAGCAATCAGGTTTTAAATTATCTCGATATTCGTATCTATCTACAGTAAGTAGCCAATACAGTATTATGCTCCTTTTTGAGTTTCATAACATATTTAGTTAGTGCAATAATAAAAAAGATATTTTTATACTGATCGTCATGCACTTTAATCGAGACAAAAGCGATGTTTGGTTAAACAACTCTCATACAATAGATAATAATGCCTATCATAAGATTTAGCAGACATACTTTTCTACAGCTATTGAGATTTAAAATTTTTATTACATTAAAAATATCGCATAAAAAACTTCAATGCAAACTAACTCAAGCTTAATCACCTAAAAATTAAGACAAGCTAACTCAATCTCAACCACATAATAGTCGTTAGTATAGCGGTAAGTGTTATAGAATTTTTTATATAACTTTTTAAATATAAGCATATTACTTATTTATCTTAATTTATGCACATTGTTAAAGGGTGAATTATGGCTCAAAATAATTTTTAGTTAGGAAAGTAATAAAGTGAGTGAAGTAAGAGAAGTAAGCAAAGCAAGAGAGTGAATTCACTTACTTTTTAGTCTGTAAAACTTTAGCATATAAGAGCCCTGAGCTCACCTTCAATAAAAAAATAAAGAGTTAGTATAACTCATTTGAGTTCGACTTAATTAAGAAGTCTTTTCCCAACTTTAAACATTTCGCTTAATTACCCCTGATATTTTATAAACCCGTGACCCGAATTAGAGCCTCGTGACATAGCCTAGAGCTCTATTTGGCTATAATAACTCAGATCAAGTCTTTCCATGCCTTCTTTTGTGCCTTCCACCATTATGGTTGGATAGAGTTTAGCCAATTAGTGTGTGATTAGGATTAGTTTAGTGTTAGTTGATATCCATAAGGGCCATATTTTGAGTTTCCAGATCGATTTAGCTCCTCACAACATACACTTAGCTTCTATTTACATTTAGGGTATCTACCATATTAGTTATGACCGTTAAATTCTATAAATTTATATATAATCTGCCTGGATAAAAATCAGTTAAGTATGCCCACGCTTACATAAAAAAATTCATTTATAGTCAAGGTTATTTTATAGGCGATTAATTCACATACAATTCATTTTTTACAATGTATATGCTGACAATTGTATTAGTGCTACAGATAGTTATAAAAAATAAGTATGATTACAATTAATAGTGATAATACTAATTGATACTAATACTATACTTCTTGACTTGTAAGTTTGATACTTACTCTGTTAGTTTGCCATTTTTTCGATTATTAATAAAGCGATATGATGAGCTATAGATAAGATATAGGAGAAAAGTTATTGATAACAAAGGAAGAATGAAGTAGTAGTATAACATGTAAACAGATTGTACAATACGGATTTATGGGATAATAAATATGAATATCAGTATAGTATAGATGGCTATATTAGTATGGTATAGGGGTGAAAAATTATCCTGACCCAAGGTCAGCGAAATTTTTGGCAGAGTAAGTACAGAAATTCACATTTTTACTGCATACACTTCGTGAAATTTTCCAGTGGCATTCTGTAATCTCGTAATGGGGAGACTATCTATCCGTTATTCTTTGGTAAATTTTCGATATGTCTAGTATGACAGAAATTTTGTCTTCGGATAAAATTTGCCCAATTTAATCGACGCCACGTGAATTACGTAGCCGATGATTATATTTCGATAATCGTATAGTTACCCAGCTCCAATTACAGAACAATTACTTCATCTTTCTTTTTTATATTTTCTCTTTATGATTATATTCAATGAGCGTTTAGTATCAATTACTCCATTTTGTCATATGTAAGTTAGTAAGTGAGAATGTATTTAAAGGATAAGTCTTGCCGAAGTAAAGGAGACAAGTCTTTTTTGAACGTATATGTAACATAGAACACACATAATATTAATGTTACTCTCTTGCAAATAATAAACAAATATTTGCTCTCCCAAAGCCGTAACACTAGTAATAAAATCGAGCGTAATACAGATGTTCGATCAGGCACATAAGTGCTATTACTTCATAATACATATCACATGCTATACCAAAGAAGAAAATCAAAGAAGCCTATAAAATCAAGAGCAACAAAAGATTGAGCAACCCGGCTCATACTAATTAATTTGTGAATAAATTGATCACCAAACCCGAAATTAGTTTCATACTTATTGATTTTTATATGTTACAGAAAATCGGAGACTCGACCCTTTGGATCATTGTTTAATGTGTATATATTAATAAATTTTTAATGTAATTCTAACCACTTACCTCCCTCTTTCGATTTCTATTCCATATGAAATTTTTTATTTTGGATCACTTGGTCCGAGATGTGATAAAAATCATACTTCTTTAGGATGCTATACTATAATTATCTGACGATTAATTTGGTTGTGTCAGCTAATGATACTAATCACTGTTGAGTCATGGTTGAGTTGCAGTATTTTTTTTTCTATATAATTCTATGAAAAACAGGTATATCGCAGTTGAGTCGTGTTAGAATCTTAGTGATGTGGACCAACGATCAATTGCACTTATTAATTGCTGAAAGAAGAAATAGAAATGCCGAGTATCACGATATTCCTGGAAGTAGTAGGGTGAGTTTTTGGAATAATATTGCGAATATAATTAATAAGAGATTTAGTACCAACTATACGGGATATCAATACAAGGGTAAATTTCAAAATCTTGTAAGGGATCACACTGTAAGTATTTTTACCGAAGGCACTTATTGACAGATTGAACCATAATTTGGTTATAACCTAACGATTTTCTTGATCTTCTTTAGTTGATGTGCCAATATATGGCAGGAAATTGTGCATGGTGTAGAACCAGAACCGGAGTACAATACTTTGAGGAATTCCGTTCACGTTTTTGGGAGAGACCAGGTAAGGTTCTATATTAATCTCGAACATTCGTCTGCCTTTGCTATAGGTGTCTTTGAAATAGAAACAAATTATTAATTTGTTAATTATGTATAAAAAAATCTAGAAACACAGTTTGATCAGATACATAATGTAAACACATCCTCAAAAAGAAGAAGAGAAAAAAGACGGCAAAACTGCACTCCACTACCAACCTACGAAGAAGTTTCATCAATGCTAAATATGAGTCGCCATGAATCTCCCACTGGTCAAAGGGATCGATCTGCATTCCCGACCTGGAGAAATCCCACCAAAAGAGACGAAACTACTAATCGAGATAATGTAAGTAATATAAATGATGTAGATGGGAATTCAGGCCATAACACTAATGATGTAGGTAGAAATTTAAATAATACGACATATTTATATTTACCTAATTTGGCAAATACTACCTCAACCCTAATATATCTGCATCACAAAATAATAGTGATATTAGTATGCCCGATATAGGAGGTAGCCAACCTTCCTGTATAGAAAATATAAATGAAGAGGATTAGCCTCATATTTGTTTTTAGGAGCCCCTAAGCCATAAATATTTCTACATCCTATGATAGTTGATTCGGTCATGTATAAAACATCGCGTGGATATTCGCCCAATATGCGATTTTACGTATAAAAATAAATCGTACTGTTATAGTATTAAGATATTGCATAAAAAATAAAGTTCATGATACAAGTTACTTAAATAGTTTGTACCACATTTCTACAGAATTAATTCTCACAGTTGATTTATAATGAATACAATATCTAGAAAGCTTTACTTTATACGATCCCGTGATAAGAATAGGACTTGCCTTAGAGGGGCACTTCTTTGAAGCTAAAAAGGCTATAAGGGTAATATGTATAATGTTCTTAATCGGTAGTTTTATCAAAATTCATATGTTACAGGAATTTGAAATTTCACAGATCATTGAGATCGTTGACTTTTTTCACTTTGTAGTACCGATCGTTAAATCTAAGAGGTTAATTTACCAGAAAAAATGACAAAATAGATCAGTATTTGGAACTTATGACCGAGCGGAGTTGCTTTATTCTGTTATTTACTTACTAATCGTGTACTTTTTTTTCTGGTAGGTTCTAAGATCTAACGAATGAACAGTATAAAATAAGCAAGTTCCCATCCATAAGATAAGTTAGCAGTAACGTTACTTTTTGCTCATATATATATTTACTTGGTTCACTTGCCCATAATTTATTTTTTAAGTAATTTGATATTTCATTTAATGGAGACTATGAAAACTAATTTGTTTTTTGTATTTAGGTATGAAAAATGAGTATTAACGATAGTACCACCTCCAAGACCAACAATACCTCCAAGACCAACAATACCTCCAAGACCAATGATAACACTACTTTCAAGACCAACAATACCTCCAAGACCAATGATAACACTACTTCCAAGACCAATTATAGTAATGCCCCCAAGACTAATGACTCCAATCCAGAAAGCGATCAAAAAAAGCTATCTGGTGTGGGTATAATTCTTGATTATCAAATTCTATTTAATTATCCGGGTATCAATCCTATAATATTTTCAAAAGTAATAAAACCTTATGGTTTCTATAGCTTTTGATTTTTTATTTGTATTTGTATTATTTTATTTGTATGTTCTTATTCTAGCAAAAAAAAAATTTATTAAATAAAGAAGGAGGGTCCTGTAGACTTCCCATGTTTTATTTTTACATAATTTTGACCCTTTAGGGTCTGCAATGTAGTAATGTAGCACAGTAATATGTCATTTCTCTGAAATACTTCTATGTTGATTCCACCCATAATAATTTTTTGGATTAAAGATTACTTAGTTCTAACTGGCTTATTTCTACGATGTTTTTGGTTAGAAGAGATAACCTTTTTCTTTGTAATATAGATGCGTTTCTTTCGGGGTTTTTTTAGATCAAGATCGTACCAGTCTGAACCCGTGGATTCTGAATCGGAACTGGATAAATTAGTCTCTATAGATAATTTCTTAAATATATCTATAAACTTTTCTAAATTAAGATCAGGTTTATTGATTTCTGTTTTAGAATGAGATAAGTTATTTTTACTAGAGCTGGCTTTATTACTATTTTCTTCGATTAATGGGATACTCATACTATCAATTACAATTTTAGCATAGCGAACACAGGTTTTGGGAGAATATCCAAAGCTTATTTTTGCTTCACGCATCCATAACCAATCTTGCCCCAACACCAGATCGAATGATGGATTTTTGTGAATTTGAAAGTCTATTAGTTCAGTATCACCCACTTTCTTTTAATGCGAAACTATAAATCTAAGCCTTTTATTTCTTCGCTTATCAAATCATCACCAACTATACCTTCTAATCCGTAATCAGATTCAAGCTTATCGAATAAGTATTTGCTAATAGTATTATATTTAGATGTTGTATCAATTAACACTTTTACTGGGAGAGTACAATAACTCTTTCCGTCTATCACTCGTATACAAATTTTTCCCAGCTCAATTATTTTAAAATACTTTATAACTTTATTTTCTACTAAGTTAACCTTAGT